ATTTAAGAAACCCGGACGATATCAGTCAGGTTGCTCTTTCTTACTCTCCCTAATTAGTCAAACATCATCTGATGCCTCACCCCCCCACAAAACATCTGACCTGCTGCAAGCACCTGAAACAACAATGATCTGTCTTTCCCATTCAATAATCCATCCAATAATAATGCAGCATTTTGACAACACGACCAGTAACACAATAAAAATCATTCTTATGATATTCACAGAGAAACAGTTTGAATCTAGGCCAGTCGGATTAGAGTTTATATTTCAATGCATGTTTTCTTCTAGAGCTGGACAACTTGTTTTAACAGAAGAACACGGGCTTTAATTCCACARGGATTATGGGTAATCACACTCACAGACAGATAATGATAAGTACCAGGTGTGCATGCAAAACCAAAACTAGTGAACATTTGTACAAACACCTTCTCAAATAAGCAAAAACAACATGTTAGAATAGATCCTATAATACCGACTTTCATATTTAAAACATTTTCTTATTAGTTAAAAAAAATAAAAACTAATATTTTTCCCTTGTGAATAATGAGAATACAGACTGGCAACAGGTCCAGGGTGTAACCTGCCTCTTGCACAATATAGTGGGGTGCAAAAATTTGGCCAGCCTTCTTAATTTTCTTGATTTACCTTTATAAATCACTGATTGTTTGGATAAAAAAAATCTGTAAAATATATCATATAGGGGACAAACACAGTAATATTTGAGAAGTGAAATGAAGTTTATGTGATTTACAGAAAGTGTGCAATAATTGGTTAAACAAAATTAGGTAGGTGCATAAATTTTTGCACCATAAAAAACCCTTACCTCAATATTTAGTAGCTCCTCTTTTCACAGAAATAACAGCCTCTAAACGCTTCCTATAGCTCCTAATGGGAGTCTGGATTATGGCTGAAGGTATTTTAGATCATTCTTCTTTACAAAACATCTCCAGTTCATTCAGGTTTGATGGTTTCTGAGCATGGACAGCTCTCTTTCAGTGACACCACAGATTTTCAATAATATTCAGGTCTSGGGACTGAGAGGACCATTCCAGAATGTTGTACTTGTTCCTCTGCATGAATGCCTCAGTAGATTTTGAGCAGTGTTTAGGGTGGTTGTCTTGTTGAAAGATCCAGCCCCAGTGCAGCTTCAGCTTTGTCACTGATTCCTAGACATTGGTCTCCAGAATCTGATGATATTGGTTGGAATCCATGCATCCCTAAACTTTAACAAGATTCCCAGTCCCTGTACTGGCCACACAGCCCCACAGCATGATGGAACCACCACCAAATTTCACTGCAGGTAGCAGGTGTTTTTCTTGGAGTGCTGTGTTATTTTTCCTTCATGCATAACGACCCTTGTTCTGCCCAAATAACTCTATTTTAGTTTCATCAGTCCACAGCACCTTATTCCAAAATGGAGCTGGCTTGTCCAAATGTGCTTTATCATACCTCAAGCAGCTCTGTTTGTGATGTGGGCAGAGAAAAGTCTTCCTCTGCATCACTYTCCCATACATCATCTCCTTGTGTAAAGTGTGCTGAATAGTTCAATGATGCACAGTGACTCCATCAGCAGCAAGATGATGTTGTAAGTCTTTGGTGCTGGTCTGTGGGTTGACTGACTGTTCTCAACATCCTTCACTTCTGTTTATTGGAGATTTGTCTTGGTCTGCCACTTCGATCCTTGACTTGAACTGTGCCTGTGGTCCTCCATTTTCTCACAATGTTTCTAACAGACAGAAAGCTGAAATCTCTGATAGCTTTCTGAATCCTTCCCCTAAACCATGACGGTGAACAATCTTTGTTTTCAGCTCATTTGAAAGTTGTTTTCAGACTCCCATGCTGCCACTCTTCGAAGAAGATGCAAAGAGGAGAAAAACTGACAATTGCCCCCCTTAAGTGCCCTTTCTCGTTATTGGAGTCACCTGTGTATGGAGGTCAATGGTCACTGAACTTACCAAACCAAATTTGAGTTCCAAAAATTAATTCTAAAGGTTTTAAAATCAATAAAATGACAACAGTGCCCAAATTAATGCACCTGCCTAATTTTGTTCAACCAATTATTGCACGCTTTCTGTAAGTCGTATAAACCTAATTTCATTTCTCAAATATCACTGTGTTTGTCCCCTATATGATATATTTTATTGATTTTTTTAATCCAAACAATCARTGATTTATAAAGGTAAATCAAGAAAATTAACAAGGCTGCCCAAACTTTCACACCCCACTGTAAAAGCTGGAGATGGTCAGCAGATCTCCCATAACCCGGGAAGAATGAAGTGAGTAAAGAAAATGAACGGATGGAAGGATGGATAATAAAAACATGTTTTCACAGGTTCAAACTTCAGGATATTTTTCCTACACATTTAAAATTGTGGATGTTAGAACACCATCTGACATTAAGTTGAGCTGCAAAGCTAAAATAACCCAGATTTCTTTCAGAAATGTGCATTTCCATTATATCCAAAGCAGAGACTTATCTTCTTTCTTCTTGTATTTCCATATCTGGCATGCAAGTGTTTTTTTTTACTAGAATCTGGGATTTCAATTGCTTTTTGGTATAAAAGCATCAGAGACCTGAGGACTTTCATACAAATAGTTATAATTAAAAAGACATTTATGCATCTGTTTTGACATGACTTTCCTTTTGTTGACGGGTTTAAAAGCAGCCGAAAGACTTGGCTCCCCTTCCCTCGCTGGCACCAGACTTGTGTGCGAGATTAGCACAAATATCAACACGCAATTAGAAGTGACATTCAGCCCAAGGAGCTGAAAAGCAGCTTCGTGGAAAAAGGAGCATTCCTGAGCCCACCAGAGATTGTTGGAGGGAGACCAGCAGGGTACAGATTACCACCCAAGTCTGCCTCTAATGAAAGCTGCTGCTCGATGGCGTCTGACAAACAGCACGAGAGCAGCAGAGTGAGGGAAACTGGAAATAGATACAAGCAGGTGAACCAAATGCGCAAATCAGTTCAGCAGAGGGAAAAAAAAAAAAAAAACGTGAAGCTGCACAACACATCTCTGGCTCTGTGCCACGATTAGAAACAATATTGTTCCTTAACGGTGCCGGCCGTGTCAATTAATATTTTGACATAATCTGAAAAGCTCTGTCACATTACATTCTGCTAAAACATAAGCAAACCTGTAGCATCACCAAGTCTGGAATACAGACATCCTGGTGTTTAGAAGAAGCCATAGGTTACTTTGAAAAAGAGAAAAAGCAACAAAGCGCAGAGCTATAATGAGACTGAGAGCAGCTGTTGAGCAGCTGTAATATTACAAGCTGGGCTGTTCTTGTAAAAAAAATAAAATTAACTCTGCTTAACACAAATGTGTAAATTGTATTAGTGCCTAGTCAAAATACTGTTTTTCATTTTTCCTGCAATCTTTTTGAATATCTTTAGACCTGGCTTAACCTAAATCTGCTTGCAGAAGCAGAGCTACATTTTTTTATTCGAAAGAACTGTCAGTAAATACTGTATATAAAATGAAAATATGTATATTATATGTTGATGTCCAGCTGCTAAGTCCTTAAAGACTCTTTTTACCAACAACCTCTCACAACAGCTTTTATCCTCCTGTTTCTGAAATAAAAGCAGCTCCTTACCCATCATGTTGTAGAGGCTCTGTGGTGCAAATTGTCTTGGCATTTTCTGTATTGCTTCTTTAAACACGGAGAGGGCCTCCTGTGAAAGAAAAAAAAAAGACGAAGGTGGGGGGATGTTTGCATTAGAGAGCATATAGACCCTGCCAGAGAACCTGGCTCTGGGGTAAACAGTCATTGCTCCACTGCAGCCGGGGCCCTGACAATATGAATACACAGCGTGGAATTGGGGGTCTTCGCTTGGGTGGTTCATACAGAGCTGAGCACAAAGGGTCTATCCTCTCTGTCACGGCTGTTAAGACAACTAGAAGAGTGTCACTTATTGACTCTATAGTGTGCACGTTCAGCACCTCAGAGAACTCTAGAGTCTCAAACAGCAGCGAGACCTAAAAACTGCTTTATTGCTGAAACAAATGTTGTGGTTAGAGGTCAGAGGCAGTGGGACTTTTTTTTTTTTTTAGGTAAGAAAGCATGCCAACAATTTATACAACCCTTTATTAAATCAGCAATGCTGCTGCTTCTTTCTTGATTGAATCAGCAGAATCACCTGCTTATACACAATATAAATGTGCAGCATTAGAAAAAAAAACAGTTTTGTAGCCAGCAGTCCAGGTCTTCAGGGGCACAAACCAAAGTGAATTTGTTAAAAACAGCCCGACGATTATCTGCACAAACACAGTGTCCCCGATGACAAAAGCAATTTTGGAAAATGTCAGCGTTAAAGCGAGCATTTTCTCCGCACTCCCCGAAGGCTCCTTGAGCAACTTCCTGCTTTTATCTCAATTCACTACAGCTTCAGATGTCCTTATTGTACGATATGACAAGGAGGACTTCTATAGCAGAAACATGAGACTTTGTCAAAACATACAGTGGTTTGCAAAAGTATTCATACCCCTTGAACTTTTCCATATTTTGTCACATTACAACCACAAACATAAATATATTTCACTGGA